TCCTAGCACAATGTTAGGCATGTAATAACTTGAAAAATATTTGTTTGATGACACTGATTATTTTGTTGATTTAAATATTTAAATAAAAAGTTAATCAAGGACATATTTACTTAGATAAGTTTGTATTGATTAGTTACATACGAATCCATGTTTTAAATGCTGTTCCCTAGATTTTTGCCATTTAGCTATTAACGTTGATTTAGAGGATTTTTTTTTCATTCCTTCTAAATTGCAATGTGATAGTCTTATGTTAAGTGTGTCTGCTACTTTCTTAACAGGTAGATGCTGGCTGGATTGGATTTTGGTCCATAGTTGGAGGCTGTGTTGTTGGAATAGCTATGGCAAGGTGAGAATATTTTATGTTAAACATGTAAGTGGACAGAAGAGGAAAAAAAAGCCCAAAGAGAAATAGGCTCCCCTAAATAAACATTAAAATTCAAGGAAAAATAAAACAGGCAAAGGTCAGAAAAGGGCACTTGTTCAGGCTGCAGGAAAATTCACATGCAGTGGATAGAATTTGCTGCTATAAGAAACCTTCTCAGGAGTAGTCCTTCCTAAAAATTTTTTTTGGAAATTGGAAAAGTATTTCCAGTGTAATTAAGCTGCTTCTCTCCATATTATTAGAGACCAACATCTATAAATAGAACCCAAAGAAATGTGATAGAGGCAGGAAAGGCAAATTAATAGTAATTGAGACTAGAAAAGCATTGAAAAGAATTATTTGTAAGAACGTCTCTAGAATTTCCCATGAAAAGGCAGTATCCTGATTAGCAGGCACTTATTTCTGGTCTTTTTTTTGGCAGGTATGTCCCTATGGTTATCCCATTTTGATGAAAAATGTCTACAAAGACTTCCAGTTTCATCAAACTCTCCTTGATCTTAACGTATTATGACAACACGTTTTTAGAATGAGTCATAAGAAAGAAAAAAGTCTCATTCATTCTAAAAAATGAAAAAGAATGAAAATGTCAGTCTTTTTGGTACCTATCTATAAAACTACTCTTGGTATTTCCAAAGAGATAATATTCATTCACTTCCCAAATCATTTTGCCCTGTTTAATCAAAAACAAAATTAGGCAATCAACTTTACCAGGAAGAAGACAATCTAATGACATATTTAGGGAGATCAAATAAGATTTGCAAATCACATCAATATCTAAATACTTAAACATAATTGACACAGGATAATATTATATCTAGACCTTACAATTTGTATAGTGTTCCTGGAATAATGAAAGAATAAATTGATACTATAATTTCTAAATCACTTTATTTCAGATTTTTATAAGTTAAGAAAATATAAGAATAGGATATAAAAGCTAAAGAAGTGGGATAGGGCAATACTATTTGTAGGGAATCACTGATACTGAAATACATTGACCTGTCACATTTTGACAAGAATCATACCTAGTTTTTCTAATTAAATCTCCAAGCCAATTACAATGAGTCATCAGATCCTATTCTGAGCACCAAATAGGTCAAAGAGGGAACCATTATGTATCAAAAATGACATCTCACGTGCTTTCTTTTCTTTCTATACCCCTTAATTTTAACTTTATATAGATGGAATTGGAGGGGGCAATTAGAATGAGGACATTTCTGCTTTTAATCTGTTTAAATGGAAGTTCTGAAAAATACTCTTCTAACTGTGGGATCTGAAATCCATTTTAGTTATCTCCTAGGCCTAAAATCAATTTTAAATTATTTTCCTAACATCGTTTTTGGGATTCTCTAGAACAGTATCTCCTTATAGATGAGTGCTTTGGGTGGGTTTTTTTTTTTTTTTTTGGTAATTATGTTGTTAAAGGCCAAGAACTGAGATGTGTAATCTAGCCAAGTACCCAGATAGGAGAAATTAACATATTTGGTGGACAGCTGGCAATTCCTGTCAAAAGTGTAATGAAAAATATAATAAGAGGTAGAAGTTAGTTTGGGCAATTCTCAAGTACCAGGTCAAGTTTGGACTTCGTCCTACGGCCACAGGAAAGCCAGTGACTATTTCTAAGCAGGGAAGTGGAATGATTAGGATAACTATTCTGACAATAGTGGGCAAAATAGATTGTGAAGACCATTTAAGAAGCTATTACAGGAGTCTAGAAGTAAGAAATAAGGTACTAAAAGCAAGTGTGATAGTCATGGGAGGGGAGAAGGGGAGACAAGATGTGACAGTATTGTTAGGGACACATGGAATTCCAGTGATAGCAACAACTAACATGTATTGAGCACTTTACATTCATTAACTTATTTGCAGAAACTGAGTATGAGTTGGAACAAAATCCAAGTCACAATAAGAGTTAAAGGTACACAGGTGTTGAGGAAATGTAGGCAGTATTTGTAGATTGCTCTGAAGAAGTATGGCCGTGAAGGTAAGAAAGAGATAACATAGATGGAGAAGCATCATCAGGTAATAATAATAACAGCTCACGTTTATTGAACACTTCCTGTATGCTGGCCATGGATCTAAGTCCTGCACACAAATTATCTCATTTAATCCATTTTATAGATAAGAAGACATAATTTGCCCAGAGTCACAAAGCTAGTAAGTGGCAGGGCTAGAAACATTTTCTCAAGAGAAAAACAAGCTATACATTTGAAACCCAGCTCTGCTGCTCTTTCTGGATCCCCTCTCTTGCTCACCCCCACATTTCTCTCTCTCTCTCTCTCATCTACTTAATACATTTTTAGTTGTTGCCAGATGTTATAGCACCTAATTATTTCCTGGTAATTTTATGTATGTTGGTTATGTTTAAACTTTTTGAAGTCAGTGACCGTCTGCCATTGTTTTCTTATTTTCTTGAGTTCCTAGCACAATGTTAGGCATGTAATAACTTGAAAAATATTTGTTTGATGACACTGATTATTTTGTTGATTTAAATATTTAAATAAAAAGTTAATCAAGGACATATTTACTTAGATAAGTTTGTATTGATTAGTTACATACGAATCCATGTTTTAAATGCTGTTCCCTAGATTTTTGCCATTTAGCTATTAACGTTGATTTAGAGGATTTTTTTTTCATTCCTTCTAAATTGCAATGTGATAGTCTTATGTTAAGTGTGTCTGCTACTTTCTTAA